TGATTTTAATTTGAGCTTCTTTTCAGAAATATTTTCTATGGAGAACATCTGAAAATATAGTGGACTCAGTTAATGTCTGCAGATGTGTTTGAGTATTAAATTAGGGGATAATAATGAAGATGTGACAAAAAGTTTGTCATTAATGATGAATAAACTTCATATGTATAACACAAAAATTGATGGCTGTGCTTTTAAGGGTCTTAACTTTGTGGTTTTTTTCCTTTAGGGAGTATCCACATTAAGGAGTGTCTTTTTTTGGGAGTTCAGCTGTGTTATAAGCTTCAGGCATATTGTTGCCCAGGAGGAACAGTACAAGTAAATGCAAAGGTGGTGATAATGAGCAGTGCTCCTTGTCTGCTGAGGGAGCTGATAATACACAGAATTCATGACTTTGCTTCAAGCAGTCTCTTTGGGGAGGCAGAAATAAGGAAACCTCTTAAAAAACCCCAGTATAGTAACAGCAACAAAAAAACACCCTACATAAATCCCAGAGCCAAACTGTTCCATTTGCTGCTTTTGGAATTAAGCACTAATTAACTTCTGCCCAATATGAACTCATCTGATCTTGGTACCAATCAAAACAACATGTTAATTGTGTAATGTTAATAACACAAGAAAAAAAAAATGGGCTCTTGGTAAATATAAATACATGCTGGTAGTATTTACTGTATTTGGAATTGCAACTAGTATGATACAGTGTCAGCTTTTATAAAAAGATGAGATACGGGGCTCTGCAGGATTTTTGTGATGCTCATTGCTTTTTGTCAATTGAACTCCTGGCAGCATCAGTGCCTGCTTGGATCTTGCATCCTGAAGATCCTGGTAGTGACCAAGCTCAACTATGTGGTTTGGAAAATAGATAGCAAGGAATTTTATTAACTTTCTTGACTTTCAGAATTTTAGGTACTAGGAACTGAAATAACGATTTTTGTTTTTTTTTAGATTGGGCTTTTAAAAAATTTGTTCTTTCATACTTAGGTGATAAGTCCTTTTGAAGGATCTGACAGAGGCAGCCTTAACATGAGGTCCCAAATTGTGGCTGCAAGTGTTCCAGGCCCGGTTGGTCGGGGCTTGGGGCAACCTGGGATAGTGGAAGGAGGTAGAACTGGATGAGCTTTAAGATCCATTCCAACTCAAACTAGTCTGAGATTCTATAAGTAGCAGTTACAAACGAGTTGAGGTTCTTATAAAGTCTTCTGTACCAACGTAATATTGTCAAGCTGCTAAAAGCATCCTGACTCTGGCAATGGAAAAGGGAAATTTGGATAAATTTCTGAAGGCCCAGGCTATTCAGAATAAATGGAGTATTTCAGTTTTATAGGGACTTCAGAGATGAATTCAAAATTCTCAGGTGCTGGGAACCATGCAGTGAACTAAAGAAAGAGGAGGGGCTCTGTAACTGGAGAAAGAACCTTCCAGTTCATCAAGGTATTTTTAATAAGCGTGCCTAATCTCTAAAAAAAATTGATATTTCTTATTGTTTGTGTGAATAGAAATGAACTGTTGCACTAAGGACAGAGCAGGATTGTTTCTATTGTGATTAGCAATATTCATCATATTCTTAAAATATTGGAAAGTAATTGTTGGATTGATGGATACTTTTCTTTAACCAGACAATATTTATGTGAACAGTGTCTAGTGGTAGAACAGAGTAGCAAGACAAATACTGTGCTGTGGGCAGAACATTCTAGATTAGTTGGTTGTACCTGTGCAGAGGAGAAGATGTAGGTGTTGCTTATGATCTCTGAAGGTAAAATATTGATTCCCATCATGAATCATCTCTTACATGAGGAAGCATTATGTTACTTTGAGTAGCTTTGCCTAAACAGTATTTACCACTGCCTCTATCAGCACCTCTTCTAATAACCTGTTAAAAAAGGGAACACTTGGGCTTATTCTGTGTTTATCTTAAGTTGGTTTTGTGGAGTTTTGTCATTCCACATCCTCACCTATGACCATCTATAAATTGGGATATGGCAAAGTAATTAACATTCATAATTGGTATATTAATAAAAACAGAATTGGTTGGTAGAGGAGAAACTCAAGTACCAGTAATTCAGGTGACTTTTGGAAGCAGAAGGATGTTGAAGTGAGAGTTGGCCGTGGTGTCAGTGCAGTGAAATTCCAAAGATTACTGGCAAGTGAGGCTGAAAGCTTCTTCCAGGAACCTGGTATTGAAGACTCATTGGCTAATGAGTATCCAGGGGTTTGGAATCCTGTAAACCTTTAATACTGGCGCTAAGCCTTGCAGGTCTTGGTTTGATGGGAAATACAATGTTCAATTTTGAATGTAGTCAGTTTTCTCTAGTTGGAATAGAAGGTATAATACACAGAAGGAAAACACTATAAATAAGATATGTGCTGTGTATATGGGAAGAAACAATCATGAGCTTATAGCATGTTAAGAGTGCTTTTTTGAGAAAATGGCAATGTTGGTACTTCAGTAGATGCCTAAAGGAAAAAACAACATACAGTCCTGGCAGTGGAGTAAGACGATTTTCAACTTAATAAAAGCCTCTATCAATATTGATATCTGACTCAGTATTTCTAGAACTGGTTGTTTGATTATTGACAGGAATGAATGTAGGAGAAGCCTGAAGGAGGGTGCTGTGTTCTCTGTTTTCATTAAATATGTGACTGTAGAACTAATTGCATGTTTAATTTTTTCAGAATAAGATAAATTAAAACCTTTTTTTCTAACAAACACTTGTCCCACCTTCTAAATTTTGAGTCAGTGTGAGTATTTTGCTTAAAGCAGCCTCTGCACAGGAAATGCATTTCTGGGAAAACATCTGAGGGGGATCATACACACACAAAACTGTGCTGTTTGATCTTGGCTCGTGAGCTTTTCGGTTCATGATCTTTCCTTCCCTTAAACAGCTGCCTAATTAGTCTTAAGGGCCAGTTTATCTGGAAAAAATGTGAAACTTCTTGTCCCCGACTCTTGGTATTCAGGAGTTGGTACAAAAGGGCAGTTTGGATTCCGTTTCCTGCTAGTTTACTGGGAAAGATCAGCCTGAGATTGAATATTTCAACCAGTGTTAGTAAATCAGCGTGGCCTTTCCATTTCTTCTGTGACTAATTTTTACTCCTTTTTTTTGCTTACTTCCCTGTTACGAAATTCTGACTTTTTTTTTCTATGAGTGAAACTTACTTATGAAATTTGATTGTTTTAAAGGTTGTTTATGTCATAGCTTGAAAATATTTTATTGTATTTTAAAACTTCACACGTGTAAAACCGTGGGGAATTTTTAGATACATCAGCCTGACTTCCATGGTAAGTACTTAGTTCTCATGGAAACTGGGCTAAAATCTTGAAGGATTCTGATACAGAATGCCAGGCATCTTCATCCTTACACCCAAATCAATCCAAATTGAGAATATTCTGTTGTCAGGTAGGGATTAGTCCTGGATGCCTTCAGATGCTGGTTTCTCATGGGGTTACCCACAGCCAGCACCAACCTGGACCAGGTAAAGTTAGAGCAGGTTTGATCTAGCACAGTATGAACAAACTCATTGGCACAGGTTCATTCTCAGGTGTGAACTATGCCAGGCAGTGAGGAACAGCTAAAAATCAGGTTTAGCAACAATGTACTTTTTAAAGATTAAATTAATGCAACATGTTGGCATCCATGTAAGGAGAAACAAACCTCTCAGGTGAATCACAGATTTAACTTTGATTAAGGGCATTCAGAGTCTTGGAACTGTTTTTCCATGGTAACATTTCTCTGTCACTCCCCAAATTGAAATTTCCTATTTAAAACCAAAAGGAGTTTTTTTGCCATGTTTCTACACGGTGTTTTTGTGGATGTTGCTCACTCTTGAAGAGGCATCACCATAGCAGCAGTCTCTTAGAGAATTTTGTGGCTCTGCTTGTGGATCAGTGAACAGCACTGTCTTGGATGGATCAGAGCATGTTTTGCTCACTGAATTTCAAAGAACAACTGAATCTGTGTTATTTTCCATGGATGAAACGGTTTTGCATTTCCTGTAAGTGGATTGTAATTTTGACTTCATTGTGAAAGTTAAGTATATTGCATGAAAAAATGAGCTATGCAAACTGCGTGTATTTTAGGAACACAGTGTGATAAGTAAAGAGTTTGAAATGCTTCAGAAAAGGTCTCATTTTTTAAATTCACAGCATGAAATAATGCAAATTAGTAGTGTATCTACAGATACAGAACAGTTGTGCTTGGGCTGAAGCACCATGGTACTGCAGTGCTGATGGGAAAATACTTAATTCACTGCTTACATAAATTTTCTAATTAAGTCACTCAGTGGAGATCTTTGATCTGCAGAAAGAGGAAATGGAAATTTTCCTTGTTATATGAGAAGTGAGGAGCTTTGAGACAACCTGGTGGTTTTTGGTAAGACTAAGCATGTCCCAGTGCTCTGTAGCTGATGGAATTGGTGGTGGTTTACATACTATTTAAAATGTTGCCCTCTTCTGGTTGCTGACAACTATGAGAGTTGGGGATGGGGAGCAGCACAATAAGTAACATAAAACGGTCTGGGAAAAAGAAAACACGCATTTTATTTTGCATTAGAACAAATAGTTTTGATGCCTTAAAATAATCTAATACTTTACAAAGAGCAGCTGAGTATAAGGAAAATTTCTAGGCACGTTTGAGGATCCCTAATAAGGATTAATGTAGGGGAAGCAAGATTGTAGAGACCACCAGTGTGGTCTTCATTAGTTTCATTAGTGTTAAAAATATGTTTTGATGCGCCTGAATTGTAGTGTATTATTTATTTTGTTGTTAACTTGTTTTGAAGAACTGGTTTGCAGAAGAATTGTGGCTTTGTGTAGGAATAGAGGCTGGGAGTGTGATTGCCTTGGGATGTTTGTGCTAGTCCAGAAACTCTTTGAAATAGGAGCTGTTATTGCTTCTGTTACTCTTCTGCCACACCCCTGGAAGTGTCCAATGCCAGGCTGGACCGGGCTTGGAGCACCCTGGGATAGTGGAAAAGTGTCCCTGTCCATGGAAGGGAGTGGAATGAGTTGGGCTTTGAGGTCCCTTCCAACCCAACCCACTCCGGGATTTTCTGATTTTATGTCTAATGTGATACCAGTAAAGGCTGTGAAGTTTAATGGGAAATCACATTAATATTTTAAATGAACTCTTAAGCTGAGGCTCCTGCTGTTGATTTTCAGGTCAAAGATAAATTTTGTACACTGGTAGGGAGGAATAAATTTTAGATATCAGAAAAAAGTGGTCTGAAGTCTATAAATTGGCCTGTACCTTCAGGTGTTTTGGAATTGAATTTTTTCCTCTTTCTCACTTATTTAATTATCAATATTTCTGAAATTAGAGGGTTTTTTTATAAAAATTAAGCACAAACTGGGTCTGGAGGGGGTTTATAAACCAAGAGCAGCTCTTGCCAGTAGATGGAGGTAATGAGATACAGAAGTCAAACTGGATTCTCTAGTCCTTTGAAGATGGGATAAAAACCAAGTGATGTGTAGGAAAACGGAGAACTTGTAGTTTGTTTTTGCATTTTGTAGGACTTGCAGAAGAAATTAAGAAAGCTGGCTTAAAATAGGGCTCGAACTCAAAATGCTGTACAAGTATTCCTGCATCAGTGGGATTTTCCTGGTTTATATCCATTTTCTGCACAGTTTATGCAAGTAATTAGTATTCTTTCTATAAGTGTTTTGGGGCTCTTCTAACAGTATGAGTCACAATGAGAATTGATTCTCACAGCAGTTTTCTGATTTGCCTTTTGGTTTATAACATTTCATCCTGGTTTTTAAAAATTAGATAAAGGAAGGGAGCTGGTTTAGCTGAATCCAGGCTCTGAGGGTGCGTGTCTGAGTTCTGTGAGGGTTTGTCTTGTGGGACGAGACCCAGAGATTTGTTTACAGTATAAAATCCTCCTGTTAAACCTCGGAACCTACAAGTTAAATCCCTTTTTTGATAGTTAAATATTTCTAACCTCACAGATGGTAGTAGTTGCAGCAGATTAGTGCTGCCTTTGCCTAAAGAGTAGTAGGACAGTTTTTAAAGTCAGTTTTGAGGATGCCTCTAAAATTGTATGTTGCCATTCCCACCTGCTTTATATCTAAAGAAATACTTGCAGTCAGTCCTCTAAGTGCAGAATTTTAAGTTGCATCGTTTTGAGAGGGCCTTCAGAGGACAGTACAACAACTTGATGCACAATAACTTCCATGTGCTGCACTTCTGTCTTTGGGTTGGAGACTACTCCATTTCTCACCTTATCTTGCTTCTTCACAGGATGAAACTGAAGGCTCTGAACCTCTCAGCTACTCACTTGAATTAGAAAATTGCCCAGATGTATCAGGAACAATGGTATTAAATAAGTAACCTGTTGTGGGACTTGTGCCTCGTGCTCAGCTCTTGCAGAGCTCAGATCCTTGTGCTTCAACTTTTAAATCTCTTTCCACAGGAAGAGTTATGGGAGGTGTGGCTGACACTGAGAGTTTACAGGCCAAGGTTAAACAAAACCAAAACAGAAACCCAAGCTGAGAGATTTGACAGCACGAGAGCAGTTTGAACATTCCCAGCATGTTTTTGCTTAGTGAGATAGGTATGACTGTGAGTTCAGAGATTTTTTTTAAAGGAAAAGTGCCTAAGGAGATGTCATTTTTCTTAGCACTGTCACAAATTTTATAGATGTTGGCACTAATTCTTTGTCCTCACATACAAAAGTAGAACTTGCCATAAATTGACTACCATAGCTTTGTGGGAAGTTACCACTCATGGTGAACTGTTTTATGACAATTACACACTGTTCGTAGAATAGATGAACTTAATATAAGCAATTTATGGGTCTGTATTTTTCTTTTCCTCCTGTTTTACAGCAGTGAGAGTAACTGTGAGCTTTCTAGAAGCTTGTTTGTGCAGGACCATATGGAAAACAATGCCCTGGAAGGAGTGCTTGCTGGAAATAGCACCTGGAGTCATTAGTTTGTGTGAGTAATGCTCCCAAAAGAGGTAGTTCTGACTTTAGGATGCTGCACTTCTGTGTGTGTCAGGGTGCTGGTAATGCACATGTGCTATGGGTGTCTGGGCATGCTGTACCAAAGATTTCTAGACCCAACAAATGTACTGGGAGTTGAGAATGAGAATGTCTTCTAGGCTGGGTTAAGGGTGAAAGGAATATTAAAATGTCCAGGGTTAACACCTAGGGAGAGAGGAGAAAGAATGTCTTAAAGAAGGGGTTAAGGATTGGGTATGTGGAATTTTGATTGTGGATGTCTCAAGAACCTTCCCTGCTTAAAGGTTTGAGAGTTGGCACTGAGGAAGCTGAATAATACAAGGCTGAAAGGTGGTGAGAACTGCCCAGGCTCCCCAGGGAATGATCACGGTCCCAAGGCTGCCAGGGCTCCAGAAGGGTTTGGACAACTCTGTCAGGCTCAGAGTGGGATTGTTGGGGTGTCCGTGTAGGGCCAGGAGTTGGACTGATGATCCCTAGGGATCCCTTCTCACTTAGGATATTCTATCATTCTGTGAAATAAGAGAACTGAAACAATTCACAAAACACCGTGCCAAGTCTTTCCTCTTCTATCGATTGAGCTCTACCCCTGTGATACAACACTAGAAGTTTCCCAAATCTCATAATGCAGTGTTAGTGTGTAAGGCATGGCATAGAAATTCTGATTGCAAATTATCATTGCTTTGTTTGATTAGGGCAGCTTTTCCTGTGTTCTGTCCGTTCAGGTCTTAGGTTTAGGGTGGTGGGTTTGCTGCTGCTAGGAAAAAACTAGCCCCTGGCTGTGGCAAAGGGAGACCTGGAATTCAGGTAACTCTGGGCCGTTGCTCTAAAAACTGATGTTTTGGGGCACCTTTGGTGACCATACCTGTTTCTGAGCTCCTGCTGCCAGTTCAGTTCAAGGGATGAATTAGTGCCCAGCTTGGCTCTTTACATCAAAACCCACAGATGAAATCTATAATCAAAATAACCTCAGCTTTTCTATTTTGTATTTGCTCCAGATTGAAATATTCTCAGACCAGTAATTTATCTATTACGTTTGTGTGTTTATACTACTTACTGAATCTACTTGTAAATTAGCAGTGCTAAATTAGAAATGTGGGGTGTGCTGGCCATTAATCTGAGGCTAAGCTTGGTAGTGAACTGTATTTCTCAGTGCTGCAAAATAATGCCAAGGGGCTCACTGAAACGGTCGCTTGAATTTTAAAACGCCACTCTTTGATTCAGACAAGGCCAGCAGTGAGCTGTGAAGATGCAGCTCTGTACAGATGCAGGAGCTGAGCTCAATAGGTCCCTTCTCCTGCCTGCAGAACCGGGAGAGGGACAGGCAGTGCTTGACATGGGAACAGTTGTGGCAATGATCCTTCCGAATCCGGGCATCCCAAAGCTGCTGTATGTGAGGATTGTTCACCGGATGTACGGGGTCCTTTCTCCTTTCAGCTGGGGGAGGAAGCTTGGGGAACACAACTGGGGACTGTTAGGAGAGGATGTAGTGTCAAAATCTCAAGGGAAAGGTCTTTGGCACTGTGCTGCTGGGGAAAGCTGGTGTTCTGGGGAGGGGCTGGAGGATGTCAATGGTGCGAATGAGAGATTTGGAAGACAAAAGGCAGAAGGAGGAAGGATTTGAGTCACTAGCATTGGTCTCAAGTGCACTACCAGGTTTAGATGTATTTTTGGTAGCAGAGTGAGAACCTTGGTTTGTTTTGCCTTTGCACCAACAGATATAAAATGTTATTTTGCTTATGTTTGCAAACCCGTGTTCTTTGTATTTCTCTGGCATGTGAATGTAGATTGGTGTGGTTTAGGAGAAAATAAATCTTCACCTGGAAAACAAGGAAGTGATCTGGCAGGGGTCAGTGCTGGTTTGCTTTCAGGTGCTCACACTGTTCCCCTGCCCCCTCACCACAGGCAGGAGGTAACCTAAGGTGTTATTCCCTAGCTGTGTCTTATTTCTCTCTGGCTGATAACTCTCAGCCTATGAGTAGCTTTCCAGAGGGTTTGTGGACATCAAATCCCACTGTTTTTAAAAGTTCTCCTTTGAGATGTCTGGTTTGGTAGTTAAAGTTGACAGTGTAGGATGGTTACAGATCCCTTGAGGACATGTTTCTGTGCGTTGTTGGCTTGGTAATTACTCTGTGCTTTGTTCTGGTTGTCAATATCTCCGGGTTGATAAGGGAGAGGTGCTGTAAACAGATATTCCTCCTTAACGAGGGTTAAACCACAGTAAGACCAATCCCCTTTACTTTTCTTTCTAATAAAAGGTCCAGGTAGTTGCTCTAAAGAGCAGTGGGAACAAATTTAAATGTATACTCTGAAGTTATCTAAGTCTTCATGGGATGGAGTTGTGCTTTAAAATAGGTGTTGGGAGCTGAGCTGCTCTTTGGATAAATTACACCTGTATGTGATTTCTGCCTTCAGGTCAGCATCTGGTTGATTAGGCAAGGGGAATGAAGACTTGGAGCACAGGGAAGAAGAGTTCCCTGTATAGGAGCTCTATAACATAGGGTTTATGTTATATATATGAAAGCTGTCTTAAATCAGCCTAATGAAGTACTAGGAATGAGCACCCCAGTATTGATGTGATAATTGTCTCTTTTCCATCAGGAATGCCTGTACTATTCATACACAGTTGGGCTGTTTTTCAGACTGATCTTACAAATATTTTAATTCTGTTACATGAAAATAATGAGTCTACATAGAGGTAAGACTGGATTTAATACTGAAATGGAAGATACCATCTACCTGTTCTGCAGGCACCTTCATGGCTGTCAGAGGCATCAGTGTGAAAAGCTGTTGAGTTGGATGCTAATGAAATGGAAGTATGAAATGAATGTGTTATGGTGTGGTCCTAAAAAAGAAGTAAATGAGACTTCACTCTATTTTGGTGAAACTGTGGTCAAGCAACCCACTCAGGGTCGCTTTCTGAGGGGCAAAGAAGGGGAAGAAATGAAGGAAACCCCATGGTCAGAGTTTGGATGCTGCAATCCACAAGCTGTTGGTTTCTGGGATGAGTAATAGATTTCTTTCTGAAATTGCACTGTAGAGGATAGAAACAGGTCTGAAACAGATGAGGGAAATGGGAAGGAGTGTGTTCTGATGTGTGTGTGTCTCCTGTATGCTGTCACTCAAATAACTGAAATGAGTCACCTTGTGCTTTGGGTACAGGTGATTAAGACCAAGAATTTTCTTGTCTGTCAGGGTGTCAAAAAGAAAAGGAAGAGAAATGCTTGTATTCTCCAGGCTACTATCATTTACCTTTGGGTTGTATTGCTAACATCTGTGTACTATATCACATGTGATGGGTAAACTTACCAGCCAAGAGCATCATCTTGTTCTGTGGAATGAATGTTAGATTTTAGCTGTTTCTAGCTTTGTCCTCACGTGGTGGTTTAAAACTGGGGCACAGATGTACCTTCAGCATGTAATGCATATGCATAATCAAAAACATTGGTTTGCAGTAAATAATTCATGTCAGCTGGGGCACTTGGTTCTGATAATGAGATCTCAGGGGCTTGGCCCTTTCCGGATGATATATGAAATATTTGCTGTTAGTCATTCACACTGACAACTGCTTAGTTGTTAATAGGATTTGTGTGTTGAGGGGAAGGAAATTCCTGAAGTTTTTTGGTTGTTTGAATCCTTTCTTGATATCTCTTTTCCCTGTCTGCCTGGGCTTTGAGCAGCTCTGACTGATAAGATTTGGAAGGACAAATGAGTACCACCCCTGAGTGAAAACCTCTAGGAACTGACATAGGTAGGGATATAAATCTCTATTATGCTGTTATTGACAACCTGCTCCGTACAAAATCCGTACGGAAATCGTCTTTGAAAGGGTGGGAAGTGGGTAGGCAGAGAGGTGTTGGTATTTCTATACTTTGAGGGTCACAAAAACGTTGATGGAAATAAAAAACATCTATTTACATACCTATTAAACTTTTTGGGAATATGGAGATTGGGTAGCTTTATCCCTCCCTTTAGGCAGACCTGAGCAGGACAAAGTCATTTGTGTTCTGTCCCACAACTAATGGGATGCTGAGGTAAGAAATTTTGAAGTAAGCTTTTATTTTCACCTGCTAGCATTTTTCTTACCAACTTATATGTGAGAGAAGTGATGAGTGACAGCATTGCTGAAAATCTGGTGATGCTCTTTAGCTTTCAAGTCAGCAGTTCAAAACTTGGGTAAAGGTGACTGATAGAAGGAACAATTATTTGGGAGCAGGATGCAGTAAATGTCCCCCCATGGCAATGGGGGATGGAATAAGACGATCTTTAAGGTCTCTTCCAACCCAAACCAGTCTGGGATTCCACCCTAGACCAGTAAAGGATTTGGTTTAGCATTGGTGCTGATGCCTTGCACGTGGAATGTCAGATTTTGTGTATATAGTAGCAAACTCAATGACTGTATGTCCTTCAGCCTTTCTACCAAATACTAAAAATGCTGTATTTTTATCAAAAACTTTATTAGTCAAGAGCCTTCCTTAGCGGCTGTGTTTTCTGGAGCTCTTCCTCAGTGCACAGGACTGCAGTAATCATGACAGCTTCTGTAATTAATAGCAAATTAGCATATGATGGTGGTTCCTGCTAAACCTTGAACCATCTGCTCATGGCACTTGGCTTGTCAGTCTTCTGTGCAGGGATCTGGTGAGGATATTGATGATGAGTTCTGTGGCTCTTCCCTTCCAGAAGGTTTAAAATCCACACCTCATAATTGGGCAAGGAAGAGGTGGTTTTTTTGTAACTTTGAAATAATTATCATCTGCTTTGTGCACTTGGGTGTGCTTCCTCCATAACAGAAAGGGAAAAGGGATCTGCTTGAAAGACTTGTGCTTTTCCTCAGCTGTTAGCCCTGCTGATATCTGTCAGGCTTTTGTTTAAGGCCATCATGCACATCCCTGTTTGGAACAGAGAACTGGAGCGTGTGTGGAAGTGCAGTTCAGCACAGCCCTTCTGTGCAGGTTGTTACAGTGCTTGCAGTGACTT